CACAAGTTATTTTGTAGAATGTCCTTCAAATTTTCCTATTTCTTCATGATTAAACCCAGGTGATGCATCTGTGCCATGACTATCACTGAAGGAATATCGATAACTGGGATGTTAACTTTGATCATTTGATTAAGGTGATGTATGCCAGGCTCTTCAAGGAAAAATTACACATTTTACATTTATAATTAGTGTTTTGTATAGAGGCACTCTGGGACTCTGTAAATAACCCACTCCTCATTAGACTTACAATTGATTAGTTTATTTACTTATACCTGAATAGATTCATGGATCCCTATTTTAGTCAGTGGGTTACAATCCATTATTATCATCATTTATTTCTTTTTCTTTCATTATTTATTTCTATGGTAGGTATATCTTGTTAGATTTTTATACTTAAAATTACCATAACTATCAATTTTGTTTTCAGATTGTGAATTCTGTATAATATTTAATTTGGAAAAGGGTTCTACCGGTAAGTGGATACAAAGTACTATTCTATTTCACTTTTGAGACTTAGAATTATTTTCCCTTTTCTTTTTTTTTTTTTAATTTTTTTTTATTTATTTATGACAGTCACACAGAGAGAGAGAGAGAGAGAGAGAGAGAGAGAGAGAGAGAGAGAGAGAGGCAGAGACACAGGCAGAGGGAGAAGCAGGCTCCATGCACCGGGAGCCCGACGTGGGACTCGATCCCGGGTCTCCAGGATCGCGCCCTGGGCCAAAGGCAGGCGCTAAACCGCCGCGCCACCCAGGGATCCCTATTTTCCCTTTTCAAAAATCATAACGGGGGAAGCCTCGGTGGCTCAGCGGTTTAGCGCTGCCTTCAGCCCAGGGTGTGATTCTGGAGACCTGGGATTGAGTCCCACATCAGGCTCCCTGCATGGAGCCTGCTTCTCCCTCTCCTTCTGCCTATGTCTCTGCCTCTCTCTCTCTCTCTCTCTCATGAATAAACAAAATCTTTAAAAAAAATCATAATGGATCTAATGGGATAAGAGTTGGAAGCTGTCTCATGTTCTGCAGTGATTCAAAATCCAAGTACGTAGCACCTACAGATCTGGTATTAGTCAGGAGGCAACTGGCTTAGGTTTCTGGCTGTGGTTGGCTTGTCTCAACTATTCCAGGGACCGATGGAAATCAGTATCTTGGCATTCTTTTAATCTCCTCTCGGCACACCTGTTACAAAGTTCTGATTTGGTGGAAAGCAGTAATTTATAGTCGGGATATCTGGTTTAAAATCTTGGCTGTGTCTCTGAGTGACTCTGCATAAGAGATGAAATATTTCAAGAATTTCTTTGAATAGATAACCACGCTCTGTGCAAACCACATGTCACTTCTCTGATGTTTTAGTCTTCTTTGCCCATAAGTTATTCTAAAAATATTTAACAACTAGTACATCAGGATACTGACCAATCAGAAGAGGTAATAGCCATAGAGTGGGAGCAGGATCAAGAAGGTCCCTCCTAGGTCCTGGGTTAAGGTATAATCTAGGAAGCCTCAGAAAAGGGGGTGAAGCTAGAGGTCACTTAAGGGCTGTAGTGCAAAACCTATTTAACAAACAGTAATATATGTATTTGAATATTTTTTTAAAAATTTTTATTTATTTATTTATGATAGACACACACACACACACACACACACACACACACACACACACACAGAGAGAGAGAGAGGCAGAGACACAGGCAGAGGGAGAAGCAGGCTCCATGCACCGGGAGCCCGACGTGGGATTCGATCCCGGGTCTCCAGGATCGCGCCCTGGGCCAAAGGCAGGCGCTAAACCGCTGCGCCACCCAGGGATCCCTGTATTTGAATATTTTAATAATAGCTATTGCCATACAGATGTGTGCTGGCTGAAAAATAAGCGCTGTATATCTTACTGTAGTATCAGACACAAATTAAGTAATTAGCATTAATGAATAAATGATAAAGAACTTCACCAGGTGATGAACTCCTTCCTAGTTCTTATAAAATGGAATTTTCATCCTATCAGTATTTAAGTCTTATGAGCCTCATTTTCTTTACCTACAAAATACAGAAAATACCAACAGTCTTGCTATATTAGAGATTTATTTAAAGGAATACATGAGGTAATTTGTGCCAATATTCTCTGAAAAAAAATAATCTGCTCTGTTGGTAAGATGAGGAGTGGGATATTCACAGAGTCCCAAAGTGCCTCTATAAAAAACAAACAAAAACCATAAGTATTTAAGAAATCATGTAAGTTGCAACACTCAAAATTAAACTGATCAGCCACTGGCAGAAAACAGAGAGGAAATAAAATGAGACAGACTTGCACATACATAAATCAACAAAAACTGTACTTTGAGATTAGACACATGTATTCCAACTTTTCCCAAAATATTGACTACAAGACATCATTTTAATTTGCTAGAGATTTTCAACTGGTAAATAAATGGAGCCCATAGGCAAAAGAAAGAATTTTTCTCAGTCAAGTTGTACAGTATTATATTGATTCATACAAATATTCTATACTATCTAAAACTCTATACTGTATAATCCTCTATTTAAGAAATCCTAGCTCAAATGTGGATTAAAAGTGTAATTCCTCAGACTGAAATCACAATTTACTCTTTCATATACAACTACTCTGACAAGCTAGGTACCTGAACATTTTCAATTCCTTTAAGGATCATTCTTACCTGGAAATTAGACTGGAACACACAGCAGTCAACACTTTTATAATGTCCCTTAAGCATAGTTATCTGTTCTCCTGAGTAAATTGTATAAACAGCAATGGTGCTACCATATGGTACAAAAACAAATTCTGAACTGCAGCCATAGGAGACAGTGAATTTCAATCCTTTTCTGCTGTCATTACAAACTTTTCCATAGTTTACCTGTAGGATGTAAAATTGTAACATTACTCATTTCTTAAATCTGAATTAAAAAGACAACAAAGACTAGAAAAAACATTAACTTAAAATATTGCATCATACTATGGAAAGGGCTGTACTAAGTCTAAAGAAAATAATCAAGTCCTAATAGAAAGAATTAATTTCACATAAGAGGAAAATACAAATAGTACAAAAAAATTCACAAAAGCAAATGTTTACATTTAAACTAGAAATAAAATGCAAATTAAGGTAACCTTAAATTATTGCTTTAGACCATTTAGCAAAAATTTCAAGAAACCCTGGGACAGTGAATACTGCTACAAGTGAAGTAATATGTTGGTGGCACTGTAATTTGGTCATTGCTTCTAAAAGGCCAAATGATTTATTATGCAACAAAATACAAAGACGTTTTTTTTTGGGAGGGTGTATAACTTTTTATTTTAAAACATTTTTAATTGTGGTAAAATACATACAGCATAAAATTTGCCATCTTAACTATATTTAAGTGTACCATTAAGTGACATCATATTCACATTGTTGTGCCATTATCATCAATCTCTAGAACTCTTTTCATCCTGAAGAACTGAAACTCTGTACCCACTACACAAGAAAGTTATTCTTACTCCTTGACCTACTAATTACTCCTGAGAATTTATCTTAGGGAATTAAAAAGCAAAAAGCTGTATGCCCAGAGGAATTCAATGAAGCATTATCTAGAATGGCAAAATAACTAAAAATAGATGTAAATTCCTAATAATGTTACAACTTAGTTTATATAGTAATTAAAAATCATAATTATGAAAATTATGCAGGAAATAAGGATTAAAAACTAAGTATAAAAAAAGCAGAGAACACAAATAGTGTGTATATAACTGCAACTTTATATAACTACATACATATTTAGGACAAAAATAAAAATTCTGTGCCTGTATGCCAAAGGCACAAGCCCAACGTCAGCATCGTCTCAGCAGTTCAAAAAGTAAAATTCCAGGTTCTATCCCAATCCCACTCAACTAGAATCTACATTTTAACAAAATCCCTAGGTTATCTAAAGGCTCATCAAAGTTGCGAAGCTTTGGGCTAAAGAAATGGACAGTGAGGTTTATTTCCTGCTGATAATTTAGATTAAGTGGTTTAGGGTAGGTGTAAAACCAGTAGCTAAACATTTGAGAATTATGAGCATGGAGATCACCAAAGACTCCCAATACTATAGCTAACACTAGAGTTTTAACAGTGATTTATCTTTTTCTCTTTTTGTAAAGGTTAGTTGGGAGAGGGAGAGATAGAGAGAGAGAGTGTGTGTGTGTATGTATAAATACATAGAAACGGGTGCCTCAGTTGGTTAAGCACCTGACTCTTGATTTTGGCTCAGGCCGTGATCTCAGTGGCCTGTACTGGGCTCTGCACTCAGCAGAGTCGGCTTAAGATTCTCTCTCTCTTAAAAAAAAAAAAAAAAAAAAAAAGATTCTCTCTTCCTCTCCCTGTTTGTCATCTCGCTAAAATAAATGAAATCTTTAAAATATAATAAATACTGAGGCCCAAATGGACATATACTGATAATCTATGGATACTACGCTTGCCTTACCCACCCTTCAGGTTAACATCTGACTGAAATGGGAATATGCATTCAGTTATCCCACTGCAGCAGGGGTAGAATGAAACATTAAAATATTAAACTAACATTCATTAGACTTGGTTTGTAGAAATCCACTCTACTCCCCATCCACCTTTTTCTTTTATTTTACCTCTAATAAGTACTGAATGACTTAGCCTCTGAGTTTCATTTTTCTAATCTGTTAAATAGAAATAGGATCATTTAACAATGTGAAAAATCAGATGAAATAATGCATATGAGAGACCCAGAACATAAAGGTATTCAGTATGTCACTAGATTTATTAATTCCTATATATATTTAAAAGTATAATTCATTTGCATCTTTTGATCCTGTATGTGTAAATATTTGTACAGTGGGGAAGGAGAATAGAGAAAAAAAAACACATGTCAACTAGAAATTCCCTGCTCCTGCTAGAAAAATTTTGAACTGCTAGACTGTGATGGCCTTATTTTTTTTTTTAATTTTTATTTATTTATGATAGTCACACACACACACACACACACACACACACAGAGAGAGAGAGAGAGAGAGAGAGAGAGAGGCAGAGACATAGGCAGAGGGAGAAGCAGGAGCTTCTCGTGAGCCCGACGTGGGATTCGATCCCGGGTCTCCAGGATTGCGCCCTGGGCCAAAGGCAGGCGCCAAACCGCTGCGCCACCCAGGGATCCCTGTGATGGCCTTATTTACATTTATCACAGGATCTAGCTATAAGGCCTGAGTTCTTCCCACTCTACTACATTCTTTCCCAAATATGAACTGGAAAGTGTTAGATGAGGTACGAATATTGAACTAGTTATCTAACTCTTGTTTTTGTCCTTAGGCACCCCTAGTCCAAACCATCCTGCAACTTATGGTCCTATTAATCTTTGTAAATCACTGCTGTGATCAAATCACTCGTGGACTCAAAATCATCAGTATCTTTTCAATACCTATGGAATAAAGTTCTAATAATGGATTAAGGAAAGGAAGGATCATTCACCAATGCTCACTATGTGTCATACATTATACTAGATGATTGTTTAAGGTTCTCATTTTATGACAATGTATGCTTACCAATGTGTGATAAATAGCATGATGTGTATTATTATAAAAGTACTGTAGAGGAGAGGCTCCTTTTGGCTATGATGTCTTAAAGGTGGCATGTACAGGCTTTTAAAAGGTTTTGAGGGGCACCTGGGTGGCCCAGTGGTTGAGCAACTGCCTTCATCTCAGGTTGTGATCTGGGATTGAGTCCTGCATCAGGCTCCCGGCAGGGGGCCTGCTTCTCCCTCTCCCCATGTCTCTGCCTCTCCCTCTGTGTCTCTCATGAATAAATAAATAGATAAAACCTTAAAAAAAAAAAGATTTTGATAGGAGAGGAAGATATGAGACTTTGGATAGGATGAATCCCTTTTATTTTTCCAGGAAATACATACATTTAATCACCAAATGAATATCTACAGTGACACAGAGATTCCATCACAAGGCAGCTTATTTTATTGTCAAACAATGATCAGCATAATGATAATAAAGACAGGTAGCATTTACTGAATGCCAACATTTGCTGTAAATATCAAAGTGCTTAATGTTTTACAAGGGTTATTTCATGTAATACTTAAAACAGTGCTATGAGATAGCATTATTATGCAAAAAGAAAACATTTAGAAAGGTTAAGTATTTTAGTTGAGGTCTTTGGGGTAGCAAATGACAGAATGAAAAACTAAATCTCAACTGCACTAATCAAAAACCACAATGCTACATTGTGGCAAATGATTTTTCCTTCATTCCATGACCTGATGATCACAGGACATTCTTCTCCAAGTAAGCACTGGGTACTTGGAAGCATTTAAGCCAGACGAGAGGAATTTCAGAGGTTGTGTCTGAGATGAACCTTGAAAGCTGAGAAGCATCTAGGACAGGAAGGAGAACTACACTATTTCAAAGCAAAGGCAGGAGTCTGTGCAGCAAAATGGAAGGGCAAGAGAGCACAGTATTTTTCAAAACCTCTAAGTAGTTCAGTAATGACAAAGAAAAATAAGGTAAAGTGACAAGACATAAAGCTGGTGAATTATAAGATACAGCTTATGAAGGCTCAGTGTGCAATAGGCAAAAGCATTGGTTTTAATTACCTAGAAGTGTTGAGGAAACAGTGAGAGACTTCCACTGGGAGATCAGTTTAGGAAAAGTTAGAATATTAGACTAATTAAATAGATCATGAGAACCCAGAGTGAGGCTGGAAGGGAAGACGGATATGAAAAAAATTAAGGAAGAATTAAGAGGACGTGTAATTCATTTAATACATGGGATAAGGGGCAAGGAAGAATAAAGGATAAACTTCCAATTTCTAGATATCGGTCACAGTGAATGATAACAGCAGTAACTAAAACAATCAACACCAGAATAGGTACTATAAATTTCTTGTTCTTTTGTTGTACCAAAAGCTGTCTCTCTGTGCATTTTTCCTGCAAGTACTTGTTATGTTCTCTAAGGTAATGGTCCCTAGAGTGCAGTTCACACACCACGAGGAGCCTGCAAGATAATCTAGTAAGGTGTGAGAAGAAAACATAAGAATTCTATTTTTTGATCTCATTTTTACTTAAAAAATAAGAAATTAATCTTTACACATAGGTTCACAACAGTATTTGTATATAACTTACAAATAATTATACACCCATTAGAAGTATGCACTTACACTTTTTAAAATTTATTTAATTTTATTTTTAATATTCCAAGTAAAAATTTATTTACTTTCTTAAAATCCTTACATTTAATACTGCTTCTAATTTATCACAGGAATTACTTCTCCAAAATGTTAATCATAGCTGGATTGAAAGAGTGTTTGGGAAATGTGGCAATGTTGCTTTTATAAACATACCACATTACATGCTTCTCCTTCTGCCTGTGTCTCAGTCTCTCTCTCCTCTGTGTCTTTCATGAATAAATAAAATCTTTTTTATAAATAAATACATAAATAAACCAACAAACCAACCAACCAAGCAACCATATTACAAAACAACAAGCAGCAAAAGCTACTGAGGTAGGTCCAGAACCTTTAGTTTAAAATAAGGAAGAGAAAGAGAAGTATCTCTGAAGAACGAGAATATCTAATTACCAGATCAAACATAAAGAAAATTATTCAAAGAGAACATAATAAAAAGTCTGCAGAATTTCCAAAGAAAACAAATATATTTACAACTTTAAGGTTAGGATTAAAGTTTTCTTATTTATGTATTTTTCTTGATACTTGTTTTTAAAATTTAGAAGTTTCTACTGAAGAGGAAAAGGAGATGTAAAAGATGAAGCCCTCTTAAAAGCAAAAAGGAAGCATAAGAAAAAACAGTAAGAGAAGCATAAAATGGGAGAAAAGGTTATACCACAGAGTACTATCAAAGTAAGTCAATGGTACAAATTCTATTGTTGCCAATGGACACCCTCCATACATACCTTTTTAAAACTAACTAGGGGTGCCTGGGAGGCTCAGTTGGTTAAGCATCTGCCTTTGGCTCAGGTCATGGTCTCAAGGTCCTGGGATCTCGCCTGCATCAGGCTCCCCGCTCAGTGGGGAGCTTACTTTGCCTTCTCTCTCTACCCCCCACCCCCCCCACAACTCAAGCATGAACATGCGCTCTTTCTCTCTTCATCTCAAATAAATAAAATCTTAATAAAAAAAAAAAACTAACAAGGGTGCTACCAATAAGGCAACATCACACAATAAAAAGTTATTTATGGTATACCTATTATTTAAAAAGTATTTAATTATTTACTACCCTTTTCATACTTCCATTATATCCTTAAAATTACTGTTTAGGTACATAATAACTCCATAATAAGATGGAGACATTAAAACTCCTACCATAGTCCTTCATAATGTCATCTTAAATAAACTGACTAATGTCGCAAATTAATAAATGGCAGGACTGGAATCAGTTTCCAATTCTGACAGTGCTCTAAGTATTTGAAGACTGTGTGTTTCCACTGAGAGTTTCTTTTTCTGGGATTGATGTCTCCAGTTCTTTTAAGTGTCCTCTGGAGGTGAGTTTCTGGGCTACTCTAGTCATCTTTACATGAATGACTTTTACTTAGATAAAGTAAATTTTAAAATGTATTATCTGTTCTAAACACACTATTCAAGAAATGGACTTATTACTAACACAAACCCATAAGGTATGAGTATCACCTTCAAGGAGAGAAAAATGGAAAATCACACTAACAATTTATATATATAGTCAATACTGTTTATTTTTTTTAAGTCAATACTGTTTATACTTAGCACATTCACCTTTGATGCACATGCCAACCTACCTTTCCAAAGTGACCCTGTCATATTACTACTCAAAGGCCTTTAGTGGTTTTCCATTTCACCCAGAGAAAAAGCCTAAGCCCTTACACAGAGGCCTAGCCTGTATCCTCTGTTGTCCTGTTCCTTCTGTTCCTCACCTCCTATTTCTCTCTCCCTTACTTCTTCTATTTCAACATAAGAGCCTCTTGGATATTCCCTGGATATCCCAAGATCCTGCCTTAGGATCTTTCTGCTTCCTTCCTCTGCCTGGAATGCTCCTCTTTCCAGATATCTGATGGCCCTCTCCTTCATTTCCTTCAGGCCAAATATTGTCTTCTCAATGAAACATACCCTGACAGCCCTATGCAAAAATGCAATTCCAACATCCCAATATTTTCTACGCTACTTTCCTTACTTTTCTTCATAGCACTTGCTACATCTAAAATATATTTTATCAGAGCACCTGGTGGCTCAGTGGTTGAGGATCTGCCTTTGGTCACGTTGTGATCCTGGGATCCTGCGATCGAATCCTGCATTGGGCTCCCTGAAGAAAGCCTGCTTCTCCCTCTGCCTATCTCTCTCTCTCTCTCTCTGTGTGTGTGTGTTCCTCATGAATAAAAATAAATGAAATCTTAAAAAAATAAAATAAAATAAAATAAAATAAAATTTTATCCATCCATCTATTTATTGACTGATGGATGGATGGCTTTCTTCCTCTCCCTAGAATGTAAGTACATTCACTTACATTCTAGGGAGGTAATATGAAGAGAGGACTTATCTGTTTTGTCTGCTGCTGAAGAGAGGACTTATCTGTTTTGTCTGCTGCTGAAGAGAGGACTTATCTGTTTTGTCTGCTGCTGTATAATACTGTCTGGAAAATAGGAAGAGCTCAAAAAATACTTATTTGACAAATGAATGAAATGAGAAAAGAAAGGTGTGACCTGATTAGAAACATGATACCAATATAATGAATGGAAGATTCTAAATTAGTTTGCAATGCCTGAGTTTCTAGTCTGAGATGTGATGGAGAAGCACTTCATAAAATACATAAAAGATTAGCAACTCTAAAGTAATCTAGTATAAACAATTTTGGCCTTATAGTAATATTAGAATTTAATAAAAGAAGTGATATTTAAAGTACCTAAAAGAGAATTTGCTAGAAAGGAGGTTAAAGAAAGGGATACGGAATGGGGCACCTGGCTGGCTTAGGCAGAAGAGCATGCAATTCTTGATCTAGGCATTTTGAGTTTGAGGCCCATGCTGGGTGTAGAGATTACTTAAGTTAATAAATAAATAAACTTAAAAAAAAAGAAGAGGGGATCCCTGGGTGGCTCAGTGGTTTAGCTCCTGCCTTTGGTCCAGGGTGTGATCCTGGAGTTCCGAGATCAAGTCCCACATCAGGCTCACTGCATGGAGCCTGCTTCTCCCTCTGCCTGTGTCTCTACCTTTCCCTCCTCTCTCTCTCTTTCTCTGTCTCTCATGAATAAATAAATGAAATCTTAAAAAAAAAAAAGAAAGATGATTCTCTCATGAATAAATAAATGAAATCTTAAAAAAAAAAAAGAAAGATGATTAATATCAATACCTACTTTAAATCATTAAATAAATGCTATAAGGGGTTTGGTATAATTACCATTGTGGTAAAAGTGGAATCTATAGTCAAAAAGTGGAATCTATAGTTGCTTTTCAGCTGTTTTAACTCATGCAAATTAACCATTTTCTTATTTCCTCATATGTAAAATGGGTATTGTAACAGTAACTACTTTCACAGTATTGATTTGATGATTAAATAAGACTCTATATGTTTTGGCACATGTTATATGTTAATTTTTATTAAAACAGTATCTGATACATAAGCTCTGAATAAATATTAGCTATTACTATTACCACCAAATTACAAACTTACTAGCTTATTCTGAATGTTCCTAAACCACAGGTATGGCTGGTAAAGACCATCACGTAAATTTTTAAAGTGTTAGAAATTAAATACATTAGAATCTAGCACATTTGGGATCCCTGGGTGGCGCAGCGGTTTGGCGCCTGCCTTTGGCCCAGGGCGCGATCCTGGAGATCCGGGATCGAATCCCACGTCGGGCTCCCGGTGCATGGAGCCTGCTTCTCCCTCTGCCTCTGTCTCTGTGCCTCTCTCTCTCTCTCTGTGACTATCATAAATAAATAAATTAAAAAAAAAAAAATAAAATAAATAAAAAGAATCTAGCACATTTAAAACACATTTATTCCAGTATTAAAGTACTATATTCTGGTACTGTAACATTCATCTTAGATTTTGTTTATAAGTCATATATAGTATAAAATTTAACTATTTAACTTTATAATCAACGTACCTGAGAGATATGGTACACTCGCATCATGCACAGTGGCTCAGTAGAGCAGTAATTCTCCTAAGTGGGGAGAATGTGGTGGGGGTACAGTAGGGTAGGTTGTCCTATGTTGAGAGTTATTACTTCACATAATGGAAAAATACAAAAAGAAAACTGGGATACAGACAAAAGAAAAGAGTTAAATCTATAGAAGAACACCAAGTGTATTTTATAGATCCATTTTTTAAATATATATTCAAAAGGTTAGAGGGCCACCTGGCTGGTTCAATTGGTAGAACATGTGACTTTTGATCTTGGGGTTGTAAGTTCAAGCCTCACACTGGGTGTAGATTACTTAAAAAAAAAAAAATGGAGATACTTAAAATCTCTTACTAGTGTATTTTCTCCACTGGAACTATTCCAGAGCCTCATCCGATTATCCGTACCAACAGTAAGGAGATGAAGCCCATCATTTGTAAAGCATAAGCCATTAACTTTCCCATTATGAGCAGTGTTTGCTGCAATGAAAAATACAACTCAGTTAATCTACTCTTGTATTCAGCACACACTTAATGCTTGATGATAGTTATTTAAACTTACTTTATTAAGGACAACTATCTGAATTACTTAAACAAGTTGATTATATTTGGATTATTTGAATATAATAAGCTATATATATTAGAACCATAAAAATAGAGAAAAACAGAAAAGTAAAAGAGAAAGAAATTTTGCTAAATACAAGTTTTCAGAGTAAGCTGTGCTATCAAACTCAATTAAATGCATGTCCACTAAAACTTTAAATTAATAAATACCTTCCAAATTTCTCATATACTATTTCTATCTTTAATCTAAAAACCATTCTATGGACTATTAAAAATCAATAATACTATTATTCAGTATTAAAAAAAACCTTCAATAGGGAAAGAATAACTGTTCTAGTTTCAATCAAAATTTGTATTATTTTCAAAACGATCAAGTTTGAGAAAGTATAATTTTCAAAAAGCCGGATTAATTTAACAGATTATTAAAACAGTAATAAAACTGTATGTAGTTCATCCTAAGATTTTTCTGGTCCACAATTAATTATAAATCAGAATCTTAGCCTATACAGAACTTAAATTCTAGGGGTGTCCGGATGGCTCAGTCAGTTAAGCATCTGACTCTTGATTTCACTCAGGTCATGATCTCAGGGTCCTGCTATGGAGCTCTGCTTCAGGTTCTGCCATCAGCCTGGAGTCTGCTTAGGATTTCCTCTTTCCCTCTGACCAATATCTGCATGTATACGCATGTGCTCATGTGTTCTCTCTCTCAAATACATAAATAAAATCTTAAAAAAAAATTAAATTCTATTGTAAAAATGCAACTGAGGTACTTTGTCATCTGGATAGCAGCTGACACATTTAAGACAACTTGCACATTTTCATAATATGACCACAATGTGGTATGTATGTTTAGAAATCAATTTATTATAAATGTCATTTTTTAAATCATAAAATTTGCCACTTGTCAATATACATTAATTACTGGGTTTTAATTAAAAATTTTCAATATAAAAAATACTATTGTTGGCATATTTCCATAGTAATGTATTCTTCATTACCTGATTCAACAGCTTGTGACTTTTTTCCATTATGCTGATCAAGAGTAATTAAACATCCTGATGCTCTTCTCACATCCCATAATTTTACTCTACTGTCAGCACTAAGAAGAAATAAATATTACACTGACATATATAGCTATGACCGTGACTGTACTCTTCACCTACCTTTCCAGTATTATAGCACACAGAGGTCTTAGTATATTAGAGTAAATATATTTGTACATTTGGGTCATTGTACTTTTGCCTTTTCATCACATATTCAAAGTCAGTAGCAAAAAGCAGTGAAAATAATTGAAAAAAAGGTAACCGTTTTTAGATCACATGGACAGAATTCTGCTGGTTCTTAATAACATTAGCATGTTCCTTCCCCAAAACTAGTTAGCTTTGGCACTTGCTCAAGAGCAAGTTTGTTACTACATCATTTCTATTGTTTGTTATTCAAATGTTTTCTAGACAATCAAGCAGTTAATTTTACTTTAAGAATTCATTTGGCATGAATTTGGTATTTCTTTTTATATGAAAAAATTAAGGTGAATAATGAGGACAATACATTTATATTAGGTTTCCTATACTCAAATCAATCTTTGCCAGATATACAAGAACTAAATTTAATGTTTCTTGGAAATCTGACATTTATTTTTATTTTATCTCAAGTAAGTGAAAAAAATAAAGGCAAAAAAAAAAAAAAAAAAAAAAACCCATGACCACATATCAGTTCCAGCTTCTAAACTACTCCTAAAGAAAATATAAATCAGTTTAATTGGGATCCCTGGGTGGCGCAGCGGTTTGGCGCCTGCCTTTGGCCCAGGGCGCGATCCTGGAGACCCGGGATCGAATCCCACATCGGGCTTCCGGTGCATGGAGCCTGCTTCTCCCTCTGCCTGTGTCTCTGCCTCTCTCTCTCTCTGTGACTATCATAAATAAATAAAAATTAAAAAAAAATCAGTTTAATTGATGCTATCACATTCTCAAAAAGGGCCTTAACAATATTCTAACACATTGGGTTTATCTAAGCCCCTTTAATTAGAAAAAGCAATATAATGCATTTTTATAAGCCCATTTCTAACTTACATATCTTTTACATAGATACACGACTTATCTCTTCCTATAATCTTGATTCTTTTCACAGGTCACTATCAAGCCCAGTTAATTAGAATAGCAAGCAAAAAGCTAGCATTTCCTATTTTCAAAATGATCTTCTTTCTTTCCAGCTGGGGAAGAAGTTTCCAATGGCATGAGTCTGAGGACTTAAGTACTTTCTGAAACAGATAAGATTTGGACATATCTGATTCCTAACGTTGATTACTAGATCCATTCTCATATTGATTCAAATTCCTAGGGTACTCTGAGACCTAAAACCTCTTAGGTCCCCCATGATTTGAGGAAAACCAAGTTAGGCATGAACAATAAAATATGCCCTATCATGGACACACAACCAGCACTCAGCTTCTCACCTTCACACTTCTTTAGCCAGCCTTCCTACAGCTACATTCTAGACTTGTTCTACTCCAGAAAGCACAGATCTCAATATCACATTCTGTAAACTATTAACAGAAGCTTCTCTGAGGACTAAACTGCTTGGCTCATAGTGGGCAGTCATTAAATATTAGTAAATTGAATCAATGAATTAATGTTGAATTAGATTCAGAACCTCTGTATTAAAGAAAACAAAAAGAAATGCTACTATTTTAAAATTAAGTCTTATACTTGGGTAGAAAAAAAAGACACAAGACAGTTTTTTCAATGGGTAGTACTAGCAGATTTGCATTGCTACAGAGATTGTCTTGTTTTCTGTTTTAAAAGGTGAGCACCTTCAAGATATATAGTCAGGATTAGGATTATGATACAAAGAAAGATTTCTTTTGATGATAGGACTTAAAAACTGTAACTCAATTATTTAAATGGCCTAATTAATAACTAAATATGCATCTTATAAAAATAGTGCTTTCCAAATTTTTACCATTAATTATTAACTTGAAAACCAAATAATTTGCATGTTACCTTGCAGTTGCCAAGACATATTCACAACGTGGTGACCAGGAAACTGCCAATATTTCTTGTCTGTGACCTGCAAATATAACTGTATGAAGTCTTGTAAAATACTTGAAAAATAAAAAGATACAATGTAATTAAACATAACATTTTGAAGAAAGTGAAGACTAAATATTAAAAATAAATTGATACAATCATCCCCTTTTCAAATTTATAATAATCTATGTTTAAATATAATATGAAGTCTGTGGTGCATTTCTCCCACATGTTATCTTACTATAAATGGTCTGGTTTTGCCTTGGAAAGAATGGTCAGAATGAAAAGAAAAAGTCTTTCTTTTTTAATAAAGCTGTTAGATGAAAAAGTCAATCCATCGAAGTAATATAGCTCAATCTCATTTACCTATATCTACCACAAAAAAACCCACTGCAACTAATCATACAAGTGAAACATTCTATAGAATAAAAACGGTTTCTAACTTTTTAGAAAGTTATAATAAAAACTCTTAAAATTCATGATTGTAGAAAGCATTTGGATACATTTTTTTCTACAAAGCACAGGTTTATATAAGTTCATAGATAATTCAGCATTTTAATTCACTTTTGCCTAAATGGATTATTTAGATATTTTCATCTACGTAACTTATGTTATTAGAGATTCATGACAATGTAAAACAAATGCTATCCATTTCACCAAGTTCTCTCCATATATTATGTGTTTCTCAGAAATGAATAAAAATGTAAATTTCTGGATTATAACCCATCTTTCCATTGTCTCGAATCGAATGGCCTAATACTGATAACAAAGTAGCAAAAATACTTAAATTAACATATCTTAGCTAAAATATTATTCTAGTACCTTTTTCTAAAATATTTGCACTCAGGGAAAAAAAAAGCACCTAAATATTAAGAATGTTTACTTAGCCAGAACAATATTAAACAATGTTTGTAAGACAAGTGAATCAATGTTAAGTTTCATAAAAAACTTTTTTTAAATGTAGAAATAAGAGGTGTTCAGCTAGACTTTCCATATCCTTTGAGTTTATCCTATGGCTATTGTTTATATAAATGCCTGCTCAATAGTTCAGTTTTATAAGAATAATGCACAGAAGGATCTTTATTTCCCTGTTGACTTTTAACAACTAGCACAAAACACATCAGTCATGTCAGTTACAAAGAATACATTGTTAGTAATGTTTCTTTTTATTGAATGGTTCACTCAAAGTAGTTGTTGTTTCAAATAAAAAAAAATACCCTGTAAAATGTGGGAGCAGGATCCAGACTTTAAGTCACAAAGCTGTACTTTGGGCCCTCTAGTACCGACTGTAAAAACAAAAACAAAAATGGTTTAAGATAATTTTATTATGAATCATCACCAAAAGGAAACAAGAAACTATCTTTATGATTCATGGTATCTTCTCTGCATCCATGTAGAAATATAAAAAAAGTATGCCAAAAATATACTTCAAATCATTTTTTATGTTATAAGTAGAAAATTTAATTGCAGTCATACCTCAGTACTAAGAGAGGTCTATTATTGCATTACTTTTTAACATTTAATTTTGAAATAATTATAGATTCACCCAAAGTTGCAAAGATAATACAGAAAGACCCTGTGGACCTTTCACCCATGTTGTCCAATGTTAGGTTGTTAGGTTAAGTAACTATACCACAGTACCAAAACCAGGAAATCTGTATTGCTGCAATGTGTATGCATAATTCTCTGCTATTTTATTACAGCAAATAATTTTATTTAATACCTCAGACTTTCCATACTAATGATAAACTTCCAATCAAAGACTCTGGACACAGAATGAGTGGACTTCAAGGGCAAGTTAGTGCCCAACTCTTCTTACAGATGATGCAGCTGACTAGTATCTGGAGGTGAAGATGTTCATGCAGTGCCACTCAAATAATGGAATCATAGGGACCTGATACCAGGAAAACATTTTTTTTTCTTCACATATGAAAACTCTTGTTGCAGGTGCTTTCATAAAAATGTTTAATTTGAATAATACAATCTTAGAGAAAAGGAAATAATTTCCATGTTTTTACTGTGTTGAATTGAAAAAGTTGCCAAATTTGGTTCATGTAAAATCTCTGAAATTTTGGTGGCTGAAAATTAACTCCCTAGGGAACAGAAATGCACTTTTTTAATCTTTGAATCCTTGCCATTAGGCAGTGCTCGACTTGCACAATACCAATAAAACTGGATGTTTTAAATAGTAGTATACAGTTGAGCTTTTTTTTTTTTTTTAAGGAATTGTGATATTGATCTGGGTTAAAATGTCCATCAAAACTAAAAAAAAAAACACTAACTAGGTATTAAAAGGGAGCAAGTGTCAATATGTTGAAAAGCAAAAGAGTACAGGTACAAACCTGCTACCAAACAGTGCTTGGTGGCAACTGGAGACATATGATGACTATAAACGGTTTCTTCAAAATTAAATACATCTGCAGTCTGATAATCAAAAGACATTTAAAAAGTATAAGTTCTAATTATAATCACAAAAGCAGTAAACTTTCTATTTACTTATCTCCACATTGTTACCAATTTTTAAATAACTGTTAACAATTTATTTGACTGATACATGAGAATGTGATATCCTCAAAAACTTAATTTTAAATTCGGAGTTAATTTTTTAAAAATTGTATTTATTTATTTGAGAGAGAAAGAGGGAGGGAGAGCTCAGAGGGAAAGTGAGAAGGAGAAGCAGGCTCCCTGCTGAGCAGAAAGGCTGAACTGGGGCTAGATCCCAAGACACTGAGGTCATGACCTCAGCAGAAGGCAGACACTTAACTGACTGAGCCACGGAGGCACCTCAAATCCTTTGTTAGTTTTAACACTCTTGTCCCTTTTGTAAGAGGAATAATTTTTCCCTAATAAATTATAGATAAAGAAAAGACAACCATCTTTCTTTCCACTCCAGTCTGGAGGAACATCACCATCTACAAAGGTGATCTAGCCAGCAGTCTGCCTCTTGGTCCCATTCAACTTCAGCTACCACATTCCAGCACTCTCATCATCCAGATTTGCTCTTCCTTCAAAATCATAGAATTCATGTATGTAATCCATAACCACAATCTCCTACCATTTTCAGCATAGTTTTCCCCAACTACTTCCAAAACATCCAAATAAAACCTGGAACTCCTATCAGTTCCTCCTGTTTCTGTTTTTTTTCTTTTCCCCCTTCTTCAGCCCGGATTCTGAGGTTCAATACTTCATCCCCCAGTATCTTCAACTATTTTGTCATTAATCCTTGGCTCTGTCAAGACTTCAACACTGGATAACTCCAAGTGTCTGCCTTCTCTGCACCTGTATACAGGTTGATCTACACTAGAGGTCAGCCAACTTTTTCTGTGATGGGTAAGACTATAAATATTTTAGGCTTTGAGGACTACTACTCATTTCTGTCATTTCCAACTACTTATTTCTGCCACTGTAGTGTCACAGCAGCCACAGACAAGAAATAACATTTTATTTGCGAAAAGAGACCATGGGCCCAGACTTAGCCTTTGGACTGCTTAGTAAGCTGATCTCTGCTCTACCCAAGAGATGAAAATCTTGCAGTAAGGCAAACTGGCATCACTATGAAAGATCATTCATCCCAAATGGGCTTTCAGTATTGAGTGCCAGTCCTATTATATTTTACTATTATTCTCTGCAATATTCACAGCTATTTCAAACTTTTCCACTCTCTACAAACATTGCCACTTGATCATAATGGGTGTTTTGATCTTTTATTACAAAGAGAAACCAGGAAGTCATTCAATGAGAATTCCCTGAATGTCTTATCAACAAACCTACAAACACATTTGCTTCCATTTATCCTTCTTCCTTCTTCCTTCCTGTAATCATGGAAAAATCATCCTTCCTCATATTTAAAGTTAATATCCCTACCTGTGTTCAGATCCTCCTAAGCACTGTCAAAAATCTCACGCCACACATTATCTCCTCTAACTCTAGGATATCTACAAAGTCCCCCTCCCTACTGGCTCATTCCCATCAGCATTAAAAAATGTTCATGTTTCTTTCATCTTATAACAGCAACCCTCTCAAGACAAGAAAACAAAAACCTTTCATCCTATATTCCTAATTAATCTTTCTTCCTCTTCAAATCCACATATTTCTCAACTCACCACAATCGTATTTTTATCTCCACTACTCCCATTCACACTACTCTTCCAGTATCACTGACACTGGCTGTCACCAAGTATAGTCGCCATCTACCTAACTTTTCAGAACATTCAACACAGCTGATCACTCCATCTTCCTTAAAACAATCTCTTTCACTGGCTTCCTTTACATTGCATAGTCTTGATTTGCCTCTTATTCTATTTCTCATTGTTGTCTTTTGCAGGCTTTGTTGTTCCTTTTCCTGTCCCATTAATCTTGGTCCACCTCACGGTTCTGTTCTATGCACTCTTCTCTTCAACTGCCACTTACATGGTAATGACACAAGCCTGTATTTTCTGTGTAGACAACATTCCTCAATACCAGATATGTATAGCTCAATTCCTGGATTATCTTCACTTAGATTTCCTATGAATCCTTCAAATGTAACAAATCTAAAACTGGACTCAATACACCCCTAACCTTTCCCTATCTTAGCAAATAACAATATATTCTCAACTGCCCAAATTAGAGAACATGGGAATAATTCTTGTTCCTTTTAAGTAATAGCTTTATTGAGCTATAGTTGACCTACCATACAATTCACTTATTCAAAGTATGTACTTCAATCAGAAACAAAAATGATCTTATATCCAGTAACTCTAAGTTTACTCATATTAATTTTAATAATTGGCTAGAGATTCTTTTGGATTTTCTATACTCACAGTATCATCTGTGAATAATAATTTAAATTCCTTTCATTTCTTTTTTTTTTTTTTTGCCTTATTGTACTAGCTAGGACTTCCACTGTAATATTGAACAGAGGGAATAACAGAGTTAACTCAGAGGGAAAGCTTTCAACAATTTACCAACAACTAAAATGTTTGCTTGAGGTATGTTTAAAAAAAAATACTCCTTACCAAATTAAGGACTTTCCCTTCTATTCCTAGTATGTTAAAAGTTTTTAAACAATCAGGAAAGAGGATTGAGTTTTGCCATAAAGTATGATGCATTTTTTTTCAACAAACCAAATATAGAGGCAAAGTATCTCAACATAATAAAGAATACACACACACACACACACACACACACATAAATAATAAGCCTACAAGCTAATCTCATGTTCAACAATGAAAAGCTGAAAGTTTTTCCTCTAAGATCAGGGACAAGAGAAGGTTGACTAATCTTACCAGGCTTATTCAATACAGTATTATAAGTCCTAGCTGGGGGTGCCTGGGTGGCATAGTTGGTTAAATGTGCAACTCTAGGGTCATGATTTCAGGGTGGTGGGGTGGAGCCCTGCACTGGACTCTGTGATCAGTGTGCAGTCTGCTTGAAGATTCCCTCTTCCCTTCCTCTGGCCCTTCCATTCATGCTCTCTCACTCTCTAAAATAAGTAAGTAAATCTTAAAAAAAAAAAAAAAAAAAAAAAAAAAGAGCCCTAGCCAGGGTGATGAAACAAGGGAAAAAAGGGAAAAAGCACAAAAATTGGAAAGGAAGAATTTAAACTGTCTCTATTTGCAGATGACATGATATTATATGCAGAAAACCCCAAAGACTCCACCAAAAAACTCTCTGAACTCATAAACAAAATCAATAAAGTTGAAGGCTATAAAAATATGTTGTGTTTCTATATACTAATAATGAACTATCAGAGAGATTAAGAAAATAATTCTATTTACAGCTGCATCAAAAAGAATAGAATACCAAGAAATAAAATGAATGAAGAAGGTAAATGATATGTAAACTGTAAACTATCAGATGTTCATGAAAGAAACTGAAGATACAAATAAACGAAAGGATATTCCATGCTCAGGGGTAGAAAGCAAACTCTGTTAAAATTTACATTCTACCCAAAGTCATCTGCAGATTCAGTGCAAGTACTATAAAAATTCCAATGGTATTTTTACAAAAATAGAAGAAAAATCTTAAAATTTGTATGGAACCACAAAATTCCAAATAGCTAAAGCAATCTTGAGAAAGAAGAAAAAGCTATAGGTATCATACTTCCTGATTTCAAACTATCTCACAAAGCTATAGTAATCAAAACAATATGGCATTGGCATAAAAACAGACACACTAATCAAAAGAACAGAATGGAGAGCCCAGAAACAAACCCATGCATATATGGTGAATAAATTTGTGACAGAGGAGCCAAGAATATAAAACGTGGAAAGGATAGTCTCTTCATGAAAGGATACTGGGAAAACTAGAGAGCAACAAGCAAATTGGACCATTTCTTACACCATATGCAAAAATAAATTACAAAATAGATTAAAGACTTGAGGAGTGCTTGGGTAGCTCATTTGGTGAAGTGTCCAACTCTTGATCTCATGGTTGTGAGTTCAAGGACCACAGTGGGCTCCAAATAAGTCATTAAAAGCTGGATTAGGGAAGCCCCGGTGGCCCAGCGGTTTGGCGCTGCCTTTGGCCCGGGGTGTGATCCTGGAGACCTGGGATCAAGTCCCTGCGTCAGGCTCCCTGCATGGAGCCTGCTTCTCTCCCTCTCCCTGTGTCTCTGCCTCTCTCCCTCTCTCTCTGTCGTGAATAAATAAATAAAATCTTTAAAAAAAAAAAAAAGCTGGATTAAAGATTTGAATGGAAGACCTGAAACCATAAGACTCCTAAAAGAAAACAGTAAGCTCCCTATTACCAATCTTCGGGTGATGATTTTTTTGGATTTGACTCCAAAAACAAAGGGAACAAAAGCAAAAATAAACAAGTAGAACTAGGGCAGCCCGGTGGCTAAGTGGTTTAGCGCCACCTTCAGCCCAGGGCCTGCACCTGGAGACCCGGGATTGAGTCCCGTGTCGGGCTCCCTGCATGGAGCCTGCTTCTCTGCCTCTCTCTGTGTCTCTCATGAATAAATAGATAAAATCTTAAAAAAAAAAAAAAAAAAAAAAAGTAGAACTACACATCAAACTCAAAATCTTCTGCACAGCAAAGGAAACCATCAAGACAAAAAGACAACTTACTAAATAGAAGAAAAAATTTGCAAATCATTTACCTGATAGGAGGTTAATACCTAAAAATACATAAAGAACACATACAACTCAACAGTCAAAGACCACAAACAATCTAATTCAAAAGTGGGCAGAGGAAGTGAATAGGCATTTTTCCAAAGAAGACATACAAATGGCCAACAGGTCCATGAAAAAGTGTTCAGTATCACTAATCATCAGGAAAATGCAAATAGAACCACAGTGAGCTATTACCTCGCACCTATTAGAATGGCTAATTTAAAAAAAGACAAGAGATAACAGGTATTGGTGAGGATGTGGAGAAAAGAGAACCCTTGTGCACTGTTGGTGGGAATGTGAATTGGTATAGCCACTGTAGAAACTGGTATAGAGGTTTCCCAAAAAATTAAAAACAGAACTAACTACCTTATGATACAGCAACCCCACTTCTGGATATATAACCAAGGGAAACGAAGTCACTATCTTGGAGAGATATCTTCACCCCTTTGTTCTTTGCATCATTATTTATTTTATTTTTATTATAGCCAAGTTGCAGAAACAATCTAAGTATCCATAACTATATGAAGAGACAAAGAAGATGAGGTATTTTTGCACAATGAAATAGTATTCAGCCACAAGACAGGAGGATATCTTGTCACTTATGACAACATGGATAGACCCCGAGGGCATTACACTAAGTGAAACAAGTCAGAGATGACAACTATTGTATGATATCACATTATATGTGAAATCTACAAAAGTCAAACTCATAGAAACAAAATAAACAGAATAAAGAGGTTACCAGGGGCTGGTGGGGTGAGGGGGAACGCAAAATGTGGGGTGAGGGGGGAATGCAAAATGTGGAGATGTTGGTTAAAGGGTACAAAACTTAGACAATTAAGAGAAGAAAAAAATTATGCAGGGAAAGCAACTTGAGACAAGAAATATAATACAATCAAAATATGATCAGAAGACAAAAGGAGGTCAATTTAGAGACAGCAAATAATTTAGGTGGAAAAGAGTTAGAAGCTAAGGTTGAGGGAGTAAGGCTTGAGGTTGGGAGAATTAGAACACCAGGCTGAATTTAGACAATGGAAGTCCCTAGAGGTTTTGGGTAGAGACAAAATGAAACCACTTTATATAAATTTTATTCTGGAGTATAACTTACTATAGAAAATATAGGAAGCAAAGTAATGCAGGAATAGCACTTAAAAGTTTTTAGTAATAGTCTAGATGTACACTGTTAGAGAGAGAAATAGAAGAGAAAATATGGGAGAGTTTAAAAAAAGAATTGCTAAGATTTGAGGACTAAATGGATGTGAGGAGTGGTCATGTTCCGTTTGGAACATGTTATATTTGAGGAGATTACCCTACGTTAAAAGTAAGAGAGGTTCAGTAGACAGGTAAGGAAATATGGGACTAAGCTCAGAGAAAGGATTAGCACTAGAATTATAAATTTAACCAAATATCATAAAAACTATCTTTTATTATCTATCTTTGTTATTTAGTATCTACCTATACTAAGCAATAATATTAGTAGCTTTCTTTTCCTTTAAGATTTTAAGTCAATAGAAGACAAATGTAATTTTTTCCTTAAATCACTAGACAGTAAGTTTCAAATAATAAAGAAAATAATAACTAATGTTTTTTGAACACTTACCATATGCTAACCACTATTCTAGGTACTTTACATGTATCAACATATTTAGTCATTCTATAGGGTAAAATCACTACCCCCATTTACAAGTGAGGAAACTGAAACATACAGAAGTGCAGGCACTTCTGTAATGTCACAGAGCTAGTGAGCAGCAGAGCCAAGACAGGGACTCCAGCAGTCTAGCTCTCCTCAACCACCACATATATAACATCTTAGCAAATGATCACACTAAAATACCTTAGTACCTTCATCCTACAGTGCTATTTGGAAAGGTTTTAATATACTTACTTGTAATGTATTTGTATCCCACACTTTCAGAGTTTTATCAAATGAGCTTGATGTGAACATGCCAGTGTCATGAGGATACCACTGTACAGTCTCCACACTATATTTGTGAACATCAGGATGGTTTCTACAAAACAGCAATCATATTTAGAAATACTTGACTTATGTGAGTTTCAAAATGGATACCATATTAATAAGTAGCACTCTCAAGCAGCAGAATATGAATGGTGAAACCTAGATCACAGGCCTGCATCCCAGCTGGTCAGAGGAGAAAGTCCAGGCACCTTTAGTTTCAGGTTTCCGTAGCTAATATGGAGGCCTGCTTCCTACCAAGGCTCATAGAACGGGAGTCTTCCTATTTCTACACTTGAACCTGGAGGAATTAGCCAGCTACAGTGGACCTCTTAATAGAGGGGGGCAATGATTTTTCCTTACTGTAAGAGATATCTTTTCTGGTTTTGGATTTGTTTTTCCCAAATACCATTTTATCAGTATAATCATTCTGAAAATTGTTGAATGCCTCACATAGTTGCAGGGTATCCCACACAATATTGCTTCTGATCAAAGAACTTACTCAATGACAAAAGAATGCAATCGGTAGATGTCCAAGGCACCACACTTATGTAACCCACCACCTATAGAAGCATGATCTGTTGAAGACTCAGTTATGTTATCAGCTATAATACACTACCTCGTAAGGGAGATATGCTGTCCTAAAGGAAGCAGTATATACTCTGAACCAGTGATAAATATAGTATATGTGTCACTTTACTAAATCTTAAATCACACAAACTGGCTATTAAGTAACGTTTATAAGAAGAAGATGGAAATTTGAACACCGAGTGGATATTTAATATTAGGAAGTACTGTGTGAGATAATAGTACCATGGTTAAATTTATAAAATCTCTATTTTTTAGTCATAAACAATAATGAATGAAATACTTCAGGGATTTGCTTCAAAATAATCTTCAGGGGGAGAAGCAGGGTTAGATATTAAACAAGATTGGTTATGATTGATAGTTGCTGAAGCTAGGTAATGGGTACATAGTTCATTATACTATTCTCTTCTTCTGTCTATGCTGAAAATTTTCCATAACAAAATTTAACAGAAGACTACTAGAATCCTACCTAGATAGGACCAGCATGAGTTCTAATTCCTTAAAGTGAAGGTGTGGATCACAGTACAGGGTAAAGGACATTAAGCACCTGAATGAATGAGAACATGAAGGAAAGCCTTAAAGTGTTAGTTCTGGCTGCAAAAAGGACTATAGTATCTACCCCTAATTCCTTTTTATGTCATGCATAATTTACATATTTTAACTGATTTCCCTTTTCTTTCATCTCTCTTCCCTCCCTTATTTTATACAGGTTAACTACAAATTTAAGTCCACAGGTTGCATAATTTGATCGAAGATCTTTGTAAAATAAGTAGAAACATGGACATTATCTTGACCCAGAGCTGGACGTGGTAACAAAGTAGACTTTTGGGAAAGGAATGATTATATTTTGGTTGTATCGTGAATACATCCTTTTTGGTTGTGGTTTGGATACTATGAACTTTTTTTTTTTAAGTTGGATCCAAACTCCTCCCATTTGGGGGACAACTCCTTTATTTAATTGCCTCTTGTTACAGAAAGCTAGGGACTCCAGACATTCTCCCTCCCTCTCCCTTGGCAGTAAGGGCATGGACCTATGTCCTACGCTTCCTCAAACCTGTCTGGAACTCTTAAAATTCCAGCTAGTAATGCAAAACCCAGGGATATTTAACATTATTCATAGTCATGGAGTTGAAAGTCTGTGTTGGTGACATGTTTGCAGAATCCAAACAAAATTGTTCCATTGGTGTGTCTTTGTCTTAGTTTCTTTTAACTTTCTGCTCATTTCTACACCTTTCTCTTACCTTCCTGCCAGTTATATGAGATACTAAATATCTTTCCAATAAATTTCTGCTTAAAACAAGGAAAACTGATTTCTATTTGCTTCTAAGAATCTTCATGTATACCAAGATTTTCCAGTTATAATAAAACAAATTTTTAATGTCGTAATTAAAAATAAAAGCTGATTTATATTTTAAATTTAAAGTTCAGAATAGGACAAAATATTATACTATTATCTTTTATGTTTGACCTGTTATTCTCATTCACATTTTAAGGAGAATTTTGGTATAGAAAGGCAATCTTTTTGGTGCCTAAGAACATACACATTAAGTAAGGCAAAAATAAATATCGGCAAAGTCTAAGCCATATTAACTTAATAAAAGTTTTTAGTGAAGTTATTTTGTCAAGTTATATTATAAAGTCTTCAGATATAAAAATGCACCTTAACTAATTTTGCAAACATGCTCAGTGTATGACCATTTACATCTAAAGTTGTGCTTTTAAAGACAGAGAGAGAATCCAAGAAGAACGTCATGGTAAAACAAAGGACTGACATACTAAGCATTTACTTGACTTAACATACCACAGAAGCAGATCACAGTTCCTCAGGAATAATGTTAGATAGCATGTGCTATATATGAAAATACTATTTTGATATATAACGAATTAAACAACTTAAAATGTTAGCTAAGATAAAAGAAAACGAATAGACTACCTTACACTTTAGAATTTAGGGTTTTTTTTTTTTTTTGGTACAAGTGGAGTGGAATACAAAATGGTACAAGCCTCTTAGAAACCAAGTTTCAGAGTATTTGAAGTGTTATCTTATATTGTACCAAATGTCCCTATAATTATATTGCTTTACAGTGGACTTACAGTTTTTAACATGCTTTTTAAAAGATAATATTTCATTTAAGACTCACCAGAGCCAAGAAACAATCACAAATCTCCTCCTAAATATTCCATGGACTTATGTACCTATTCTAGTGCTTTGGGAACAGCTTTAATACAGAGTGGTTGTTGACATTAATAGTATGAAGTTTTTCCTCTTTAAAGCATTTTCCCATAACCCTTTTCCACTGTTAATTCAAAGCTGCGCTCAGTATTGGATTGGATACAGGTGACAAGAATTAAGTAGACATTATGGACAAACTACAACAATCAAAGAACATCTTTCTAGACTCTTAAAAATAATTCTCACAAGACTAGAAAGCCAGTAGAGAATAGTCAGGAGATAGATGTTGGCAAGGATATAAGAAAGGGGAACTCTCACATTGTTGGTAGAAATGCGAGCTGGTACAGCCACTCTGGAAAACAGTATGGAGGTTCCTCAAAGAGTTGAAAATAGAGCTACCCTACATTCCAGCAATTGTACTACTAGGGATTTGCCCCAAAGATACAAATGTAGTGATCCGAACAGGCACCTGCACCTGTGTCCACAGAAGCCAAACTATGGAAAGAGCTCAGATGTCCATCAACAGATGAATGGATAAAGAAGATGTGGTGCATATATACAATGGAATATTACTCAGCCACCAAAAAAAAAAATTAAATCTTGCCACTTGCAATAATATGGATGGAACTAGAGGATATTATGCTACACAAAATAAGTCAATCAGAGAAAGACAATTATCAATGATCTCATTCATATACAGAATTTAAGAGACAAAACAGAGGATAATTGGAAAAAGGAAGAAAAAAATAAGATAAAATCAGAGGGAGAAAAATCAGAAGAGACTCTTAGTCATAGGAAACAAACTGAGGGTTGCTGGAGATGGGGTATGTGATGGGATGGGGTAAGTGAACATCAAAGAGGGCACAGGATACAATGAGCACTGGGTATTATAGAAGACTGATCAATCACTGACTTCTACCTCTGAAACTAATTAATATACTATATGTTAATTAACTGAATTTAAACTTAAAAATGCAAAAATAATTGGAGACTTAAGACAGAGGTATGTTAAGTTAGGCAGTTTGAGTAAGTAGAGAGATAAGATGGTTGTGTGTCGGTATGTTACGTGTGTGTGTTTGGTGAGGGATTGTCAGTACATTTACTGCTTCTAGCCATTAATTTTTCTGTTATATTAATATCGGTTGAAAATATAATTTGTGCTTATAATTAGCTGAAAGGCTTATAAATAAATCTTACACTAAGTGGTACTAAAAACTATAACTAGTTACTGTGGTGTGCTATGTAGGTGTACAACAAAAAGGACATAACCAAAGGTTTTTATTTTCAAGAAAATGTCAAGGGATATCCACGTGAAATGTGACATCTGAACAATTTACTTGAGATCATCATATGACTGCTATTTTCATATTTTGCATTTGACACAAAAAGTACTAAAATGTTTATAAATTCATGAATTACATTTTTAATACACACCTGCCAATGGAACACACTGCTTTACATGTGTAATAAGGTTGTCTGCTGGAGTTCTCAAGATCATAAAGTACAATCACACCATCTGAACCACCTGATAACATGCTAATAATAAAAAAGTTCACATTAATTTATCATTTTATGTACTTCATTTACTTATTACATATTTCTGAAAATTACTCATCTACAAATACCCAAATGTATTATGCCCACAAATACAGAGTAAATCTTCAATAATATAGATTTTTAATAAACTAAAATTTCTCAATCTAATATTTGCAGAATAATATAAAAAGATTCAATCTGTGACCATTTAAAGTTTACCTTTATAATTCCAAAAAGGACAGTAGAAACAAGATGGCAAAATATCTATCTTCATTAAGAAAGTAAAATATTATGAAATCATTCTTAATGTCCTAATAAAAATTGTGCTAAATGAAAATGGAATCAGACAGACCAGCTGCTACTGATGTTAGCCTGCTATCTGACTCTGGGCAAGTTACTTCATCTCCCTAAGCCTTTAAACATTTGCGAAAAAGGGTACATTTTCCTAAATCATAAAGATGATGTAAAGATAAAAGTTATATGCAAGTGAGTTTTATACTGCCTCATACAAAAAAAGGGATCAATAAACATTAGATTCCTTCCATTATTAAAACCACATTTACTCACTTTAACTTTGAGCACCAGAAATGTGCTACGTACTCTGCTAATAAAACTCTGTGAACAAGACTGGCATAGTTCCTGTCTTTCCAAAGTCTACAATCTGGCAGGAAAGAAAAACAGATCTATGAATTTATATCTAGATGAAGTATTGCTATTTGTTAGTCTTACTGCTCATAGTCAAACCTCATGTTGCTGTCTCTCAACTCATTCGGGTTCTCTGATTTTATTCTTTGGTAAATTCCTAAGGAAGGGCTAATGAGAGAAACAGTCCCTGAATTCTTATGTGTTATTGACAATTTGCCTGTTCTTTTGTACTTGAAAATCAGTCTGGATATATATATATATAATCCTTGACTCATATTTTAATTCCTTGAACATCTGAGATAAGAAACATCCTTTCTTTGGGAATAAACCCCCAAATAAGTTTAGTTAAAGTAGGATTTTCTTTCCCTTATATACAGTTTCAGATCTCACTTATATCAGGCAACTTTTCTTGAATTATAGCTTTAATATTGACTCTGTTCTCCTCCTTTGGGTTTCTTCTTTGGGAATTCCTATTAAATGTATGCTGAATCTTCTTTGCATATCTTTGACGTATGTCTCTGTATCTTGAATTCCTTACCTTTCTCCATTTCTTTTTTTAAAATTTTCTTTCTACCTTCTATTTCTAAGGTATTACCTCTTATATTCATTTGCTTTATTCCTTACATCTGCCTTTTATTTCTAAGCTTTTCTTGAGTTTGTTCATCTCATTTCTGAGTTTTCTTAATTTCGACTTCCATTATTCTTCTAGATCTTGTATCTTTTTAAAATGACCTTTAGCTAGGTTTTGAAATATTATATACAGAGTTCTCAACTATTTTGTGGGTATGTCTTTTTGGCACAGCTACACTGTCTAAAGGGGCATTACTTAGTCTCTTTGTTCTTATACTAATTTTGAATGGACTCTGATTTTAATTCTATTATTTTGCTCATATTTCTATAAAATTAATTTTCTTAAACTTTAAAAAGGAGTCTTGGTTTAGAATAATATTTAAATTTTGTATCTCTGGAATATCTTCTTTTTTCATAAGATGTTTAATACATGGAAGCTCACTTTCAGAGATTTTTCTTGGTTCTGTTCAGCTCCCCAATTTTTTTCTGGGCCATTTTTTCCCTTTATTTCTATTGTTCCTATACTGCTCAATTTGGATTCTATTCCAAGTAGTTTCTCCTCATTATAGGGCTTTGCCTTTTCGGAGATCTTAAGTTGATTAGCTGGAGAGATTATAGGATCTAGACTGCTCCAGACCCTTTCAATCTTACTGTAAATACCTCAATAATTGGGAGCATGTCATCCTCTCCCAAGAGACATCCACTGTTGTCAGGTTAGCTTGCTGAACTTTCAAGTAACGATTATTTCAGAGTTATAAGGTCTACTAGATGCTCCACTGGTTTCCATTGCCTCTTCTGATACAGACGCTGATACTACATATATCTTGTAATTATCGTGATTTGTTCCCACTCAACCATATTTTGTGGTTTGTGTGATATGTGATCACTTACACTTGTTATAAGTGTTATACATTCATTTTTTATAATCACCCTCTTTAGTTTTTTTGTTATTCAAAATGCAAGATAAAGAGCTTCTGCCAGAAATGAAGACAATTCTTTACTGAGAAAGTCTTGTCTATTAAAAACATCTCAGTTCATCTAAATTGTGTGCTTAGTGATGGACTAGACTTACATTCTGGCACAAGCTCCTAATCTTGTTGTTAACCAGTTACAAAGGGTTCATGAACCAGCAGCATGTCCAAGTAGCACTGATTTATAGACTTGTTTTAAGAAAAATTCAATACCAATTTGTAGAACAATAAGGTTAATTTAAAAGTAGTTCTCCAAAGTTCTTTGCTGAATCTGATTGTTGATGGGTAGTAAAGAATGATAGCAAGTAATGCCATGCTAAAGTGTTCATTTTTTTTTTTTTAGTTAACTTTTGTAGTTAACTAAGTGTACATAGGAAAATATTTAGAAATTTTAACAACTACAATTCTTATTTTCATTGACAGAATCTTGCAGCTTGTTTGGACATACCTGTGAGTTACCTGAACACCAAAATCAATTCTGAAAATATTTTTGCTTCCTATTTGAATTTTGTGAAATACTTTTTTTTTTTTACATGGCACTACATGTATTCTCAATGCAAAAACAAAAAATTATATTCAAAGGTAGACATTTTAACTGAATTTAAATTGTATTTGCAGTTATGTCAGACATTTCATCTTTGCCAGAATGATTCCCAAAAGATTTCCTTGGATTCTATTAATTGGTTGAAACAATTGAACCACTATCGGAATTAAATGATTTTGTATTCGAAGGATCTGTTGACAATGACATTATTTAACTGTGAGGTTATTATTCCGCTCATAGAGTGATGACAATAAGAGATATAGTTTCATGTTTTTATATGAACAAGAAAACCTGGTATTAAAGATGAATAACATTAACTTAGAAGAATTTAAAAGATATCAAAGAAAATTCAAGCTTCACAGAATGATATGCAAATGTACTTTATGAAAATGCACTTGTTAAAATATTATTTTCAGGGAGACTACTTAATAAAAATTCTAACTTTGGAAATAAGTGCTTCTTTACCAGATGTGCACATTCTAGCTTCTATTATGATTTCAGTGATATCACTATAACTCTCATGGTGGTTGATAAATATTAAAAAGTATTTTGAGCAAATTATATGGCCACTTATTTTCTTAAGAAAAACATTAATATTTACTTTTCCATTAAACATCTATTTTGCTTTTTATTACTCTTTGCTGCCAAATGCAAAATGCAAGTTTTGGCAAACAAGTGAAATAGTTACAGAATTTACCATGCAATGGAGGAAACCACCATAGTAAGAATCTTGACATTTCTCAGTATGCTCTGCAAAAAGACTCCTCAGCCTGTATTTCTCACACATATTTTATGCACATATAATCTGTGATTTCTCATATTTTTCATTGACTCTGACAACTGGTAGCTTACTGGCTTCATGTATTTCACAGGTTAGACAAATGATCTCTATTCCAAATGGCTGGCTGGAGAAGCAGTACTGATTATCTTTTCCATAAGCACCCATGAGTAAAAGAAATCAGCTATTCCTTCCTGTTCATGTCATTATTTTACAGGCAAATGGACCACAGCTGACCTGAATGGGAGGTGCTATGTTGCATCTGGAAAAGTTCAGAACACAGAAAAGAATTATATCGCTAATCACCTTTTAGATATGACCATGTGTTGAAGTGAGAATGTGTTCACTGTATATGTTTCCTATATACTGCTATGTGGGACTATGACAGTGGCTGAAAATTAAAAACACAATTCTATCAAACCTGTCTGGTTTATTTTAATGTAAATAATAATAACTCTTTATTATAATACAAAAACTCTGCTAAACATACATGATACAATAAACTTTAGTTACTTCTATACTTGTTCTAATTACAAACTACATGGAGCTTTTTGAACTTTCTTGTAAGAGTAATATGGGATCAAGATTTTTTTTTTTTTTTATGATAGAGAGAGAGAGAGAGAGAGAGAGAGAGAGAGGCAGAGACATAGGCAGAGGGAGAAGCAGGCTCCACGCACCGGGAGCCCGACGTGGGATTCGATCCTGGGTCTCCAGGATCGCGCCCTGGGCCAAAGGCAGGTGCCAAACCGCTGCGCCACCCAGGGATCCCGATCAAGATGTTTTAAGTGGGTGTGAGGCATGTTCATATTCACAATTTTCAAAACACTCAAACTGTTGAAGTAAAAGTATAGGTGATAATGCTTTGGATTAACAGGAGTGAGGGCAACCATTTATGATACGCCAGGTCCTATGCTAATTATACATTACACGTATAATCTCAAATTACAACAAACTTGTTAGGTAGCTGTTATCGCTGGCATTGCAAAGCTAAGGTAACGGAGAATTAAAAAAGGTTAGGTCATCTGCTCAAGGTCACTTAGCTGCTAAGTGATAAAGCCTAGGAAGAGCTCAAATAGTGGTCTGGACTTCTTCAACTGAATTCTCCAACATATACCATTACTTTTTATATTCTATCTATATTCCCATTAGACTCCTTCAGAGTAGCAACTCTGTGTTAAAATGATAGCTAAAAAGCACACACCCCAGCACTTAAAAGCCCTCTGCATCCAAAGAGGTTTAATGTCTGCTGATTTCACAAGGAATATATTTATATATAGTAGTTGGGAAATGTTTACCTGGCAATATTTTAAGAGTGTGATGTTATGTATTTATTTAAATTAGTAATGTCAGATTTAAAATGCTACAATTTAGAACTTTTACTACTTTTTATGAACTTTTTACATAAGTAATCTGAAAGCAAGATTTTACTGCATATCATTTTGAAAAAAAAAAAAGACTGTATAATGAACTTACTATCTTGCTTCAACAGGTTCAATGTCCAGGGTGTTAACTCCACTGCCATGGATCCTTTCAACATCTCTGTCTTTGTTTAACTCTAGTCCCAAAACCCTTGAAAAAAAATATAAAAATGGAAAGGGAGGAAAATAAAGATAAAACTAAACAATAAAAAAGCAATTTAAGCATTAAAAACATCCTTACTTCGCCAAAATTACATTTAGTAGAAAAATTATAAGTAACATTTAAATCTTCTACCATACAGAGGTATTTATAAATTTTTAAAGATCTTATATGAATTTCAAAAATACCAATACTAACAATTACATGTAAAGAATTTCTTTGAAGCATTATCTTAAACTTCCTTTGAAAGAGGTAGTTTATTAAGTTTTTATTAAGATATTTACAGACTGAAATAAATTTCATGAACAAAAGGTTAAATTCTATCTTAAACTCAACTGAGGACACCTAGTGGACAAAAGCTTAAATTACAGTACTTAAAAAAAAAATTCCCCCCCCCCCCCCCGCCGCAAAAAAAAAAAAAAATTCCCTGAAGTGTTTCTTATACCTTAGGTAGAAACACAAGGAGTACATTCAATTTAACAATTAAGCACATTTAAAATAAAAAAAAATTAAGCACATTTTTAAAAAGCTAATTAAGTATATATAAAAAAATGATTAACAAGCACTCTTAAAATAAGATGAATGATATTTCTGATATTGCATAACTGTAAACCATCATTATTCTGGAGAGGATATTAAGATTAAATGATTTAATACATGAAAAATGCTCATTACAATGATTAGCACATACTAAGTGCCCACTGAATGTTAACTATAAGAATTTAAAAAAAAAAGAATTTTTCTTCATTTGTTGGATGTTAAAGAGCATTGAAATTAAATTAACTAAAATAATTTCTAAATTCAATACTGACCAACATGATGCTAATCTACAGGAAAATTTTTAGCCTATTTGTCAGTTTTATTTTTTAAAAATAACAATGCATAGTGCTAGAAAAGACACAAACTGATACTTCTAATGTACTCACGGTAGCAGTATTAGTAATTATAAATGTTTTAGTAATCATTTTAGCATATCAAATGTTTGATTTATTTATTTTAAAGATTTTATTTATTTATTCATGAGAGAGAGAGAGAGAGAGAGAGGCAGAGACACAGGCAGAAGGAGAAGCAGGCTCCATGCAGGGAGCCCGATGGGGGACCCCATCCCCCTGAGCCAAAGGCAGGTGCTCCATCACTGAGCCACCCAGGTGTCCCTCAAATGTTTGATTTAAAGATATACACGTGCCTTTGTCTTCTTGAACAGTTTAGTCTTAGGTTCAAATATCTAGTCTAACCCCTAACTCCTTTTCTGACCTTGATCAATTACAGTAACAGCTAATATTAAGGGCCTACTATTTGCCGACACTGTAATTAGTGGTAATAAGTGTATGAGTGGTCATCCGAAGTGGTGGATTTCCTAGGTGTTAGGTTATATTAGTAACTGCTTTTCCTGATTATAAAACTAAGACATAAGTAATCTGTCCAGGGTCACATATCTAACAATTGGCTGAACTTGGATCTGAACTCTCATACTTTCACTACAGACTATCAGGCTCCTCTGCCATCTCTGAGCTTCAGTATTTCACCAGAAAATAATTTTTCACATTTTCCAGTGAAATTCCATTTTTTCTTCTTAAAATAGTTTTCTATTCCATGATTTTTCATTTTTATTTTATTTTACTTTACTTTTTTGAGAAAGAGAAAGAGCATGCATGAGCAAGTGAGGAGAGGCTGCGGGAGAAGGAGAGTGAGAACTGTAAGCCCCAACATGGGGATGGATCTCACAACTCTGAGACCCTCACCTGAGGTGAAATCAAGAGTCAGACGCTTACCTGAGCCACCAAGGCACCCCTACTTGATGATTTTTCAAATAGTAATGTGGGCTTCTTGTAACCAGTAAAATATAAACAAACATGGACAAATGTAATCACCCCTTCCTTCAGTTTCTTTCTCTAAATAGTGAAAATATGGTTACCATTATCATTAATATGTTTATTTTTGATCACGACTCTATGTAACCAATCTCCCATCACCAACACCATCTCCATCACCAACAAGAAAATTGCTCACCAGGCTCGGCCTTTAGTTTTTGCCTCCCCTAAAACCCCTGTCATCTAGGCTTGTCAGTCCCCACAAGTAGACTGCTCAAGGTCTGCAATATCACTCTGAGCCAATCTAATCCCAGCCTGTGTATGGAAGCCTACCTTTGCCCAACCTAAAGACTTTAGGACTGAATATTTAGGGGAACTAAGAGGGGCTAAGTAAAGGAAAATAGGAGGGTAATAGGATAGGGAAACAAGGGCAGGGTGTGTGTGGAAGGAGGCAACATGTGCAAAAATGAGTTAATATAGCAGGCCAGAGACTGTTATCCTTGGAAAGGCCCACTTGTAAGATTGGCCTTTGTCTGCTTCTGCGATTTCAGGAGGGTCGCTATCATTCCTGGATAAAAATAGTTCACTGTGCTTAAACTATGTGGAGCAAACAAGGTGCTTTGTGATAAATACCTGCTTTCCTTCTGGGAGTCTGGAATTTTGGTACATGTTATGTACATGCATGTGCATGCTACAAGTTATGGTTCATGCACTGAAAGAAGAGATAAACAAAGTCCTTCAGATGGAAGGGAAATGATATAAGAAGAAAACTTAGGATATTAGGATTAAAGAGAGAGCAATGGAAATGGTAAATATCTAGGCAAATATAATTGACAATTCTTCTCATTCAAGTATGCTTGATAGCTGAAAACAAAATGAAAACATTATCTGATGGAGTTTACAATGAATGTAAATGTAACATGTGGGGCAATGTATACCATGGAGCGTAAAGATAAAGTTTCTATGTGCCAAATGAAGCAGTAAAATATTGATTCTAAGCAGAAAATGAAAAGTGGGTATTTTATAATTCCTAGAGTAACCACCAAAAACATATAATGAGATGTCACAAGAGATAAATTAACATGGGATATAACTTTTCAAATAAGTTTGAAAGGGAAAAAAAGAAAAAAGAAAACAAAAAAAACATAGAGCAACCAGCACTCTCATCCATCACTGGTGGGAATGGTAAGCTTCTAGAAAACTACCAGTCTTAGAAAGTGAAACACAGGCTCTACGTATTCCACTGTTAGGCGTGCAGCCAAGAGAAATGAAAGCACATATCCACACAAAGACTTGTACATGAACGTTCATACGTAATAGCCTAAAACTAGAAAGATTTAAAAGTCCATCAACAAGGATGGATGATAAATGTGATATATCATGGATATATCCATGGATGAATAAATTGTGATATATCCACAGAATAGAATATTCCTCAGCAGTAAAAAAGAATCAAGAGGAGATATTTCAAAAATAATTATGCTGAATGAAAAGAGCCAGACAAAGCATGATTTTATTTACACAAAATTCTGGAATATGCAAGTAATCTGTGCTGACAGAAAGCAGAGGAGTTGTTTCCTGGAGTAAAACAGGACAAAGCAGGGGAAGAAAAGAAGGATTACAAAGAGTTAGGATGAAATTTTTGGCTTATGGATATTTGTTATTTTGATGGTGATGGTTTCAAAAGCATTTATGTATGTCAAAACTCATCCAACTGTTTAATGTGCAACGTATTGTATGTCAATAGCACCTCAAGAAAGTTGTAAAAAGAAGGGGTAAGAATTGTAAACTTTGCCTATCAGTGTTTATGCTTTTGCCCTTAATCACTGACAAGGAGGGCTTGGGGCAAATTATTGAATAGACATCTTCTTTAAATAAAACAGGACTGGGGATCCCTGGGTGGCGCAGCAGTTTGCCGCCTGCCTTTGGCCCAGGGCCCCGATCCTGGAGACCCGGGATCGAATCCCATGTTGGGCTCCCGGTGCATGGAGCCTGCTTCTCCCTCTGCCTGTGTCTCTGCCTCTCTCTCTCTCTCTCTCTGTATGACTATCATAAATAAATAATAAAAAAATAATAATAAATAAATAAATAAAACAGGACTGTGTAGTTGTTTAGTTAAGCAAAGATATCACTTAATGCAGTGAATCTTTAAAAAAAAGGAACACTACCTTAAATACTTTAAATTAAATATAAACAGTCCTCACTTTGCAGTTTGCAAACTAAACACAGAATGCAAGTTACCATGATTTAGTTAAATGCCAGACCCCCCAATAATATGGTTCAAAACTCAGTTACCATGGTATATTAACTGTATACTTTATGACTAGTAGCATAAAGCACACAAGCTGGCTACTACCTTTTGGGTCCTCAAATCACTACAAAATTAACATGTACATTATAATTTGTGACCAATTTACATGACTTCTTTCAAATTCTATAGATGATTGGTTACTGGAATTTGTTATTCATTTATGTACAGCTTGCAAAGTTCTGTGCTTCTGAGATAAACCTGTAAGAAATTCTAGAAAAATGGATAATTAAAAGAAGGAATTGGACAACAAAATGGAAGTGCACCAAAAATATGCTAAGTAATATTGCTGAAGTAAAACTAAAATGGAATGTAAACGGGATTACAGAAGAAATAGCTGACTGTAGAAATGTGATACTGTGGCCATTTGAGAATCTCTAGAGATGCAGAGTGAGGAAATCAATGCAGGTGAGTAAACTTACCCAAATAAATGAGGAAAAGTGGTCGTGATGAAAAGGCTCAAGATGTCTCAGAGGAAATGACACTGGCAAAAACCTTCACATTAAAAAAACTCTCAGAAATATTTCATGACATTTAAATGCAAAGGATAAAATGCTGGAATCAGATTCAGACTTAGAAAGGAGAATGATAATTAGCCAGAATATAGAAGATATACTCAACTTGCATTAGAAGTTATACGAGAGAAGATCAGTGCCACTCAAACTACTCTTGATTTGTTGGGTTTTTTAAAACAAAGAAATAACTGTAGTTATTATTTCCAATGTTTTACATTGGAAAGTACATTTACATTACAGTGTACTAAATATTAGCTTTATTATTTTTTCAAATTTTTTTTTTTAGATTTTATTTATTTATTCATGAGAGACACAGAGAGAGAGGCAGAGACATAGGAAGAGGGAGGAGAAGCAGGGTCTATGCAGACAGCCCGACAGGGGACCCGACCCAGGCATCCCAGGATCATGCCCTGAGCCGAAGGCAGATGCCCAACTGCTGAGCTACCCAGGTGTCCCTATTTTTTCGTTTCTTGTATATTGACGACTAACAATAAAGGTTTACTGTTTGACAAAGAAATATTAAATATCACAGAACAATGATAATTTTCTACAGTGATAATTAAAATTACTTTCCATAGATTTTGGCTGGCACAATTAGTTTTATAGATGTGTAATATTACACAAAGCAAGGACTGTCCGAATGTTTATATGCCAATTGCTTGAAGTAGAATTAAATGTGCTGAACAGAGTGCCAAATCACTTTTCTTTTACAAACCATACCAATAACTATATGTATTCTATGATTTTCAGGGATTTTCAAAAATGTTTTATTTGGGGAGCTGGGGTGACTGAGGTAGTTGAGTATCTGATTCCTGATTTTGACTCATGTAATGATCTCAGGGTCGGGAGATGGAGCCCTGTGTCTGGCTCTGTGCTGAGCACAGATTCTGTTTAAGATTCTCTCCCTCTCCTCCTGCCCGTCCCCTGCTTGCAAGTGTGTGTGCGTGAGTGCATTTCTCTCTCAATAAAAAATAAATAAATAAAATAAAAATATGTTTTATTTAACTTTTTTAGTGGGGTAAACAATTAATGCATATGCCAAGCAAATGAATATGGAATCTCAGACATGAAAAGCAACTGAAGGTGGAATCTTTCTCAAGCAAAGGTTGTCATCCCTGGCTCCACATTATAATCACCTAGAGAACTTAATAAAGAATTTCCAGTGTCCTTGACCAATTAAATCAGAATCTCTGGAGTTGGAACTTTGGCATGAATACTTTTTCCACAGTGTTTTTTCCAAATCACCTTATATTATTCCAATATTATGGCAAAGTTGTGGAAACCTGTTCTTTTTTTATTTTCCTCCAGTCTTTCATAATGATTTTCTCAATCATACCTCATTGAACAGCATTTTATTTTAAGCCATTTGTTTGGATTACTTCAAAATGGCCCATTTAGTTTTTCTAAGAATGATAATTCTTTTTGATTTTGTATTTCATTAGCTCTTATTAAAATGGCATAATCAGAATAATAAAACTGGCGTTATCAGGATTAGGGACAAATACTGATTTTTGATAAGCATATACAGCAACTGGTAGGAGAGATGTGCATGGGATTACTACATTACAGGTTTTTAGCCACAAGTGTTAAGTATGATGGGAGAACCAGCATGTTTTACACAGGAAATGAAATCCGTTCCTAGATGGATTAATCTGGTGATCTAGGTTAGGAGACACTTTCAAATCTTTACTTTTTCTAACAAAGAGGTTTAGGTCATTGCATTTTAACAAAGAGCAAAATTTAGTTGCTTTCTCAGATCAAGGACTATTTGGAATTAAGAGTCTGGAGAAATCCAGTGTTTTAGGCCATTAGTAGCTCACATAATTTGAACTATTACTGATATCATAAGACTTCTGAATTTACTAGAGAAAAAATAAACCTGATTCTTTTAAAAAGAAGTACAGCTATTTTCACTAAAATTAGAGGTCTAACAGGCAAGTTCATTCACTTTCCACCGTGTAATTTGCTGATCATAATGGAAGAACCGCAGAACTACTTGGTGGAAACAAGCCAAATTATCAGAGGAGGTAAATTTTGATAAAAATAAATTTTGAGTTTTTGCAATCATTGAAATAAAAACCTCTGGATATGCCTTTATTGGAGTGGATCACTAAGCTGAATGGGAATTACTGCCAACTCTGCAATGACTGGAGGTGGGGACGGGGGGACAACAGTAGATGCACACCTAACCATGTTTAAAACTGATCAAAATGCAGTTTAAAAAAATTTAATGTTTACTATTTAATTAAAATTAAATGCAAGATCTGCAACATATTTGCCCATTTAGTATTACTAAATGTAAAACTGATGCAACATTTTAGAACACAAAATAACACATAATGCTTGCTGAAAAGAGAAGATTATTACTGTGCATTACAATAATTTACTTTTTTTGTCTATTTGTAATTGTGGTAGGGAGCCTAGAAGGCGACTTCCACTGTGTCTACCTCCTGGTATTCACACCTGTAGGTAATTTCCTTTCCTTGAGAGTAAGCTAGACCCAATGACTCACTTCTCATGAACAGAATACAACAAAACTAATGAGATATCATTTCTGAGATCAGATTATGAGGAGTCTAGCTTCCATCTTGCTTGCCCTCTCTTGCTTACTTTCTTGCTTTAATGGAAGCCAGTTGTCATGTTGCGATTCAAGAGACCTATGTGAAAAATAACCGGAACTGAAGGAGACCTCTGGACCAAAGTCAGGGAAGAACTAAAAACTGTCTTACAAGAGCTTGGAAGTGGATCTTTCCAGAGTCAAGTCTTGAAATGACTATAGTCCCAGCCACTATCTTTATTGCAGCTTTCTGAGAAACTCTGAGCCAGAAGAGCCAGTTAAGACACACAGATCCCTGAGCTCTAGAATCTGTGAGATAATAAATCTTCTGTTGTTTTAAGCTGCTAGGTTTTGGGGGGTACTTTGTTACCCATTCACTGATAACTTATGCTTGAGGTACTTTGTTACCCATCCAGTAAGAAGTAATACAGGTGAGTTCTTCTTTTGGGATAATAGAAAAAATAATTTCCATAAGGTTTTCTTTAATATTTTATTTATTTATTAGACACACATAGAGAGAGGCAGAGACACAGGCAGAGGGAGAGGCAGCCTCCATTCAGGGAGCCCAATGTGGGGACTTGATCCTCCGACTCTGGGACCATGACCTGAGCTGAAGGCAGGCACTCAACCGCTGAGCCACCCAGGCTTCCCTGTAAGTTTTTCAATAAGCAACTGTACTCTGCTTTCCTCTTCTTAAGTTTCTTTAAAAAGCCATCAAGGCTGGCAGTTCCTACTTCCTTTCCTCTCTGTCATTCTCCAACTCACTGAAATCTTATTTTTATTTCCATGATTCTCCTGAAAATGCTCTTCCCAAGGCCATCAGTGATCATCCTGTTGGTTAAATAGAATGCACACTTTTAATTAATTCTTCCTTTATTCCTCATACTTCTTGAATGTATGCCGTTCACTTAACAGAAACTCTCCTAGGTCTCTTTTCTCATAGGGGTTATGAATAAACTAGTAAGAAAATACATGTACAATGCTATTTCGATAGTAATAAATTGAATACAGAAAATAGGAGGGAAAACCACTGAGAGCAAAGAAGCAGGCTGGGGCCAACAAATGACAGATATGATGGCTTCCTCCTTAAATAGTCTTCTTTCAGTATATGAGATGCTTCGTTGCTCTGGTTTTCCTGCAATCTCTCTGGTAACTCCTTTTCGGTTCATTTGTAGTCTCTTTTTCTGTCTAACTTTAAATGTTGCTATTTCTCAGATTTTTTTGGTCATTGAACGGCTTTTCTTACTCTACACATAGTGCCTGGATGATCTCATCTCCACCTCACTTCATGTATCATCTCCCATTAAAGATAGCTCAATTTCTTCTGAACATCTATATGTAAATTCAATGGCATTCTCCTCTCTCCAAGTGAAAATCTTTACAGGTTCTTTGAAAGCAATATGGGAAGGGGCACCTGGGTGGCTCAGCCGGTGAAGCCTCTGACTTTGGCTCAGGTCATGATCTCAAGGTCTTAGGATCCAGCCCAGGGTAAGGCTCCCTGCACACCAGGAAGTCCGCTTGTCCCTCTCCATCTGGCCCTCCTCCCTGTTCCTGCTCTTTCTCTCTCAAATGGGTACATAAAATCTTAGGAAAAAAAAAGGGGGGGGGGACAAAGTAATATGGAATAATTCAGTATGGGCAAAATTGTGGTACAACTTGTTCCCTCTTTGGAAAACTTTGTCTAAAAGAACATCCCTATCATTCACCCCGCTCTATACAAAGCAGGTTATCTGAGAATCATTGTGGACTCCTCTCTTTCCATCATTCATTGTATTCAACCAATTTACATAGATGGCTGATTCTGTTTCTTAAATACTTTTTTAGGTATCTTCACTCTTTCCGGCCCAACCACCATTTATTGCCCTGGTCCAGGCTTCCATCTTCTCTCTTCTAGACAACTGCCACAGTTACCTAACTTGACCCCTTGGCTCTCTTGCTCTGAACTTCAGTCCATTCTCCCAGCAGATGACAAAATCCAATGGTCATCACCTTATTCTCATCTTCGTATCTCTTCACCAAGCATACAGGAGCTGTTCCTCTCCTACCCCCGAACTACATCTCCAGCTTCATCTCTTGTCAACGGCCCCCTGGTCTGTTCCGGTCATGCTAAACCTTGGTCAATGCCTGGCCTCTGGGGCCCCGGGTGGCTCAGCGACTGAGCATCTGCCTTTGGCTCAGGTCTTCATCCTGGGGTCTTGGCATCCAGTCCTGCATCAGGCTCCCCGCTGGGAGCCTCCTTTCTCTGCCTATGTCTCGTGAATAAAAATAAATGAAATCTTAAAAAAAAAAAAAAAGTTCCTGGCCTATGCCTTGCCCGTATCACAATGCTTGGCAACCAGGAGGAGCTCACTAAATCTGTCGGCTGAATGAATGAAGGAGCCCTTGAAGAGCAGTGACTCACTGGGGAGTGGGGAGGGAGAAGGAATACGACAGAACCAAGGTATCCTCACCAGAAACCGCCTGAGCACCCACCGGCCTACACGTATGTAAAAGGATCTTATTTTCGTGACCCACAAAGTAGAAAAAAATTGAAGTCCAGTTTGGTGGAAGTAAAGTGAAAACGAAGCGGGAAAGTGGGAAGCAAGACCGATACAGACGCTGGTCCAGTTTTAATATTTGGCCTGTTTGAGAAAGAAAAAAAAAAAGGTAAGCTACTTCTTTACCTCCGCGTGGACTCCGCCCTCCGGAGGCGAAGAGGGTGGTCCAAGCCGGCTTGTCTCGCTGACAAAAATCCTAACATCCCGTCGCTTCACGCCGGCCGGGAAACTGGGCGCCGCCATGACAGAGCTCGGAGGCCGGGCAGCAACAGCGGAGCCTCCCATTGGTCGAGCCGGATGCCATCCGACCAATGGTGAGCGCCGTTACCAGGGGGTAGTGGGCGGGGCCCGCGGCTGGAGAGCGTGTGTACTGCGGTCGTGGCGGATCCCGCTGCGATTCGCGCTGCGAGCCCGGGCAGCGCGCATGGCTTGGGCTCGGGGTTTGGTCGGCGCCTTGCGGAGGGCGCTGTCAAAGGAAGCGAAGCAGCACGTGGGCACGGACCGCTTCGGGAACAACTACTACTGTGTCCCGGAACACAAGAACTGGAGAGGTGAGGCGACCGCGAGCGCAGCGGCGGCGGCGTCAGGGAAGAAGAGGGACGGGAGAGCGCGGCGTGAGCCGACGCGGCGTGCGACGGCTGTGACGTCACCGGGGGAGGGGCGGGCGGCGAGCGGAGTTCGTGCGCGGCGGCCCGGCCCGGGGCTGCAGCGACCCGCCCCCGCAGCGCTCCCCCCGCCCCGCGCGTCCGGGGCCGGCGGGAGGACGAGGCGACTGCGCTGGTGCTGGGCATCGGGCGACACCGACAGGGACCCCCGGGAGGTGCCCTCCTTTGGGGGACTGCGGAGGCAGTGAGCGGGCGGGGGAGCCCCTCCGCTTTGCTCTTTCTGGGTGTTTGCGCTCCGGCGCTGGCCGCGCGGGTCCCCTTCGTCCCGCTGTCAGATGGAGGGGTGCACGGGGGGAGGAGAGACCCTCCCCAGGCTTGACGTTCCCTCTGCCACGAATTCGCTCGCCCGGGACCCCGCGGGGCGCGCTTGGAAGACCCTCGCTGCCGTCGCGGCGTCGCCCGAGCTCCCCGCGAGGTAGTGGCGCCCGGGGACGTGGGGGGGGGGGGCGTGCCTGTCCCTTGAAGTCGCAGCACGTGGCAGCCGCCGTCCTTACCCCTCGGATGTCGTCCCACCGCCGCCATCAAAAGGTCTCAGGCTTTGGGATCAGAAAGGGGTTGCGTTGGAATTTCAGCTCTGACATCCAACAGATGAGGGGGAAACCTGACAACATATTAGCCCTCCCGAGTCTCAAAGTCTGCTGACTTGGAAGTCAGAGATGATGATAATAAGTTATATTGAGAAGCACCGAAATCTTTCCAAAATCGTGGAAATCATTTCCGGCAGCTCTAGTCAAAGAGAAGGACTCTTACTTGGAGCGCATGTACAGTGTATCCAGTGATTTACCGGTGTATTATTTATTTATACACTTTTAACTGAAAATTGTTTTGCCTCGCCTTTTCCTGTAACCTGGTATCTAAGACTTGTTTCCATTGAAATGAGCTTCTAAACTCTTGTCAGGGCAGGGAATATGTCCTTTTATTTATTTATTTTTTTTAAAGCCCACAAAGAATCTAGCATGTAGATGGTGCTTCTTCACAAATCGCAACCAGAAGGAAGTTTGTTTCTTTTCCATAAGTTGTCAGTAGCAATCAAAAATATGCAAAATGTCATTTGACTTATTATTATTATTGAAGTATAATTTACATACAATAACATATCCTTTTTTGGTGTATAGTTTTATGATTTTTTACAAATACATAGTCCTGTAAATACCACACAATCCAGATAACAGAATGGTTCCATCACTCCCAAAATTCCCTCTACCCCCTTAGTAGCTCGCTCCCTTACGTCATAACTAGGCATTGGCAGCCAGTGATCCCTACAATCTTGCCTTTTCCCTACAATCTTGCCTTTTCCAAAATACAGTATCTATGAAATTATAGAGGATTCAGTCTTTGAGGTAAGGCTTATTTTGCACAGAGTAATGCAGTTAAGATTCATCTATGTGTCAGTAGTTCCTTTTTATTGCTAGGTAGTATTTCATTTATGCATTTACCACAGCTTATCCATTCACTAGCTGAAGAACTTTGGGTTGTTTCTAGTTTTTGGTGATTGTGAAGAAAGCTTCTGCAAACTTTCCCATGCAGGATTTTGTGTGCATCTTTTTCCATTTCTCTTGGGTAAATTCTTAGGAGTGAGATTGCTGGGCTGTGTACATATGTATTGTAGCTTTATAAGAAATTACCCCACTCTTCCAGATTGGCTATGCCATTTTGCATTCCTGCCAGAAATGTTAAGAAAATTTCTAATTACACATCCTCCCCAGCACTTGGTGTTGTCAGGTTTTTGTTGTTTTGTTGTTGTTGTTGTTGCTGCTGTTGATTTTAGCCATTCCTTTAGTTGTATAGTGGTGTCTCGTGGTGGTTTTGATTTTCACTTTGCTAATGACTGAGAATGTTGAGAATCTTTTTATGTGCTTATTGGCCATCCACAAATTTTTGGTGAAATATCTATCCAAAACTTTCAACCATTAAAAATAATTTTGGGGCAGTCTGGGTGGCTCAGCGGTTTAGCACCTGCCTTCAGCCCGGGGCCTCATCCTGGAGATCCAGGATCCAGTGCAACATCAGGCTCCCTGCAGGGAGCCTGCTTCTCCCTCTGCCTGTGTCTCTGCATCTCTCATGATGTGTGTGTCTCTCATGAATAAATAAATAAAATCTTTAAAAATATATATAAATTTGGACCAACTTTATTGTATCATTTCAATAAAATATAGTATGATCGAAGAAAGATTTACATTAACAAAATCATGTGTATTCTAAAACAACATAATTTGTGAGTCAAAGGATATGTTGGTCTTTAATCTTATTATAATACCAAATTGTTTTCCAAAATGATTATAAGTCTATACTTGTATCAGCTTGATATTTGGAATTTATCTACTCTTGGCTGTGAGAAAATGAACCTTTTATTGATGATGTAGGAGAATCATTGTATGCTGCTATATAATACACCTGTATTGCTCAGTTCTTAGATAATTGAAGCCTGTGGCACAGATACATATTACATCCTGTAAATGCTCTTACACATTTCCTAAGCCTTTCACCATGTATAGGGGAAATATCTTTAGTTTGTTTTAATGCAAGATTTCCAAAAATGAGTCCTCTAACTTTATTTCCTTAGTACGTGGTTCTTTAGAGATCTCCTTGAGTTTTCTTTGAATTGAATGAATTGTTGAGCATTTAACACCATCATGGAAGAGTTTTTAAGAACTCTTTAGAGGAAATGACTTTTTCTTTTAATTCAGTTAATAAGTGTGGCGCGGGTCATTAATGAACTACTATACTTTCCACATAGGATATTATTTAATGACAGCAAAGATAGTTATGCAATTTAAAATAGATCTTTGGAGTATTGTCCATTCAGCTGAATTTAAGTTTAAGATTGTTGAAATTTTGACTTTAAAAAAAAATTGGTATTTCGATTGTGAATATAGCATTAGTTGGCGTTTTTATTTTTAGTTTTTTAAAGATTTTATTTATTTGAGATAAAGCACTAGAGAGAGCAAACACAAGTAGCAGGGCAGAGGGAGAGGGAGAAGTAGGGAGCTAGAGGGGAGGCTTGATCCCAGTGTCTGGATCATGATCTGAGCTGAAGGCAGCCACTTAACCTTAACCAACTGAGCCATCCGGGCACCTCTAGTTGGCTTTTTTAATGAAAAGGTGTTAGTCACCATGTTATTATTGAAAGTTTGCTTGCTCTATGGAAGATTACTTTTTTTTTTAATGGAAAATTACTTAATAAAAGATTCCCCAAATAAACTTTGTCCATAAATTTCCTCTGATATTGCACCCTTCTTATTTATAGTATCTCTGAGTTTTTATTTATCTAGTTTCACTTATCTCATGTTTCAAAACAAGTTCCCTTCATTTCTAGGGTAAATTCTTGTATACTTGATTCTGACTAGAACTTCTTTGAACTGTATTTTATTATTTTCACCTTTATTTTTTGCACATTAGTTTAACCACTACACCCAGTTAAAGCTAACATGTTTATTACTAAAAGACTATTAGGAGTTGTTAATTTCCTAATAGACATTGTGAATGTACAAATTTGGGCAGCTTCAGGTATTGGGAAGATTGTTGTAGAGAAAAGCATTAGGTTCACATATGCAGCCCTTCAAATCAGAACTTAGGTCAGAGGGGAAATGTTTACCTTTTTTAAAGAAACCACTTTCAGACTGTTAGAACTGTGCTAGAAAAGGAAGAGAGTGCCTTGTGTTTAATTGTAACCAAGAGAATTTAGGGAGGTAAGGAGCTGGACATGTTTGATCAGCACCTTGAATGATAAATATGATTTCAGAAAGAGTGATTGAAGAGCATTCCCAAACAGGGCTAGGAAGAAGTAGGAAATACCACAAAGATTAGAGGGTAGTCCCATGCTTGGTGGGCTTTAGTGGGGAGAAGAGCTAGAGAATGCTGCTTTAGTGAGAGGATGGATAGAGTCAGATGCTAAAGGGCCTTGAATACCGTTAAGTTTGAAGTTTGCACTTTATTCTCTACCAGGTAGGTAGTGCTTGAAAAGCTTGTAACATGATCAGAACTGTTAAAGAAATGGTTCAGGAAGCCCTTGTAGAAGGTGAGCTAGCTAGGAGAGGGAGGAGCTGAAATAGTACTTGGTGAAAGCATTGCTAGATTAACTGCTATCCTGGAAAGAGATGATAGGAGACTCAAGTGATGGGAATGGAGAGAAAAGTTTGGTTTAGCAAAATTTTTGAACTTGATAATTAGATTGGTGGAAGGGGAAAGAAAAGATGAGAGGCCAAAGGTGATTTTGTTTCTATTCTGGAGAGCCAGTGGATTGAGTATAGATTCATGCAAATAAAGGCTAAGAGGGGCAAATGCAAATAGAGAAGTAGGCTTTAGGGTGAGTTGGTAAAGAGTAAGTGGAATTTGTTATAATAGGACAATTGTATAACCAGGCAATTGTATACTCAGATCTGCAGTTCCAAAGATGTTAGTGTTTAAAATACAAATTTGGAAGCCACCTTTATGTAGGTGATCCATAAAGCTGTAGGAATATTTGAATTCAAGTAGGGAAGAGTAATGATAAGATGAGATTAAGAGGCAGAGATATAGGAGCCCTGTCATTTCAGTGGCTTCTCATTCAAGGACGCATAAATCCAAACTACCTGGCTAACTAACATTCAT